ACTTGTGGTGAACATGCAAGCAAAAAGCATGCTCTGCTTGTACCTGATGCATTGTCTTTGAAACTGAATGGTCCACACCAGATAAAGCTGTCTCTGGGGGGGGGTGGGGTTCTAGCTGGTTTGTCTTAACGAGTTGCAGGAAACGTCTCCGTGCGAATGCTTGCGATGCGACGGGGGGGGGTGGGGGGGGGTAGGTTGCCTGCACTTGAGAGAGATGCGAGAGCGCTCACACGGGTTTAGCTGTTGTTCCCGCTATTGCGGTACATCTGAGTTGAGGAAGTGATTCACGGGATTGTCTAGTGGCGCGCTGCGACGGGCCGCGCTCAGCAAATCAGGCGATTTGTCATAACAAAGAGTTATGAGAATATGATTCCAACTGTCGGGTCGGGAACTTTGTGCAAAGCAACAAGAAAAAATGTCACGTATTTCCAAGTTGTGTGGTTTTTTTTTAGAGGAGGAGGAGGAGGATGGTCGCTTTGCTTGTTGGTGGTCTGCGCAAGATGAGGTTTATTACAGTTGGCAAACAGGCGCTGTTTCCCCCGGACCATAACACTGTCAAGCCAGTTTTATGGTTGGAGATTAAGCAGCCCCCCCCCCCCCCCCCCCCCCCCCATTAACTTCTGACTTAGGTGAATATTTCGTACCCTTTGCCAAATCTGCCATTAGCGCGGTCACGGACGTTTGTCTGTAAAACTCGGCCAAGGCCTCCGCCCCCCCCCCACCCCCCCCAATTTTTCCGGCTGTCCGTTATTTTTTGGGAAACGGCGCGAGACTCCCTCGCTTGGCACGTCCACGTGCGTGGGCAGCGGTGGACACGTACAGGCAGGCGAATGCGGTCAGAAGCTGCCTCCCTTTATGAAACCAGGCGGAGCAACACGAGGTTTTAGACACGCACAAAGACAAAGAACCCGCCCCCCGTATAGCCTTAACAGACTGATGGGGCAAGTGCTGTTAGCAAGCACCTATGAAGGCCGACACGGCACACGAGGGGGGTGGGTGGCCAGCACCACGCCCGGCCGCTTTTGTCTCCCTTAGTGGTGATGTTTACACATCACACCAGGTACTCATTTGAGGCTGAGTCGACCAGGACCAGTTCAAATAATCGTCACTTTTGTGGCCGTGAATGGGAATCTAACCCGGGTCGCCGGGTTCGGAACACAGCTCGCTAACCGCTACACTACTGCTCCCCAAACACACAAACGCACGTTCATTCTAAGTGTGGAGGGAAATGCCGGAGGACCTGAAGAAAAATCCACACGACCATGGTGAGAGAGACACCGCAAACTTCAAATATACAGCAGGAATCAGGGTCGGGATCGAACCCACGACCTCCTACACACCAGGCAAGGTAGTTAACATCTCGCCACTGCGGCATCCCCTGCCTTAGGAATAGACTTGGCCCCTGCCTTAGGAATGTTGAATTTCTACCACTGACTCAGGGCCACCACCGGATACGAGCTGGACGCCCAGACTCGGTGGGGCGTGGAGACAATTTGAACGTGCGTTGTTTGTGCATCGGGTTTTGCTTGTTGCAAGTTCCACGGCGACTGGGGTTTGATTTTTATCACGGAACTTGGCGGGTCGGTCTCCACGGTAATTACTTTCCCACCTCCAAGTCACACTCGGACCGGTCCCCCTGCCAGCAATGTAGCGTGTGGCGGTGGCATGTGTTGGTTTTGAAAAACTATACGTCAAAACTAATGCCCATAACACTTTTTGTCTCGGAAAAATGTCACAGCCCTTTCCTTGAACTGTGGGAAACACGACAGCCGATCCTGGCTGTGTCATCGTTAGATATCAATTCCTTCACATTTCATATTGCGCATTTCCTTGCACGTGCAGTGACACAACAACAGCAGCAACAACAATGTGACGACGTTCGGCACAGAAACGTCAGCCCCCGGCTTGCGTGAAGAGAGGGGTTTTAATCAGCGGGCTGGCTAACCGAGCCGAGGTTGAGTTCTCGGTGACCCCTCGAGAAGAAGGTCGCCGTCAGGTTCGGGAGTCGAGGGGTAACGGAGTCAGGGGTATGGTTGCACCTTTGCTCACGACTGCGCAAACAAAATCACCTCGCCGTACGCCTACCCCCCCCAGGATCTGGGCCATACTTGTGTGTGTGTGTGTGTTTGTCTCTCTGTTCAGTGCATGACCAGCGCAGTAGGCCACCACTCAGCGATTTTTAAAGCGGCACAGCAAAATGCGCACGGCGCGCGGTTTCATAATCCTTGGACTGCGGCAAAACACGTAACTTTTCCACCTGGCAAATTTCCAAAGCGGGGCCTTCCTTCGCCATGGGAATTGATTTCTGCTTGGGCGAAGGGTGGACAAATCATTCCCAAAGTCAAAAGCGTAACAGAGTTCGTGTGGATGCATGGAGGCGTGCTTCTCCCTGTTCCAGTGGTGGAAACTCCACAGTCCCATGACGGGGGGGGGGGGGGCCCGGCCTATCCACAGGATGAGTACTACTACTATTGGCCCGGTGCCATAATGGGTTGAATCGACCGTCAACCATGGAATTGAACTTGTAAATAGAGTACGGTATTAAACAGAGGAAACAAACCGTTGGTAAAGATCAGTGCAAGGCCGTTTAATTAAAATATTGTTGGGGGAAAAATGTATGTGGATATGTTGAACTTCTTTCGCACCGTATGTAGCCAACCGTGTTAAAATAAAAAAGTAAAGATCATGACAATTTTGAATCCTGTCTGCTTTCCTATTGCTTTCGGAAGCAGCTGACATCGTCATAATTGTGTTTTGAGTCTGGCAATCAATTTGGTTGCACAAGAAGTTGCCTGCTGTATAGGGCATGCTCTTTCTACTCTTTGGTTTTTTCGGTGAAGTCACGTAGATAAAACAAAATAAAAATAAAAGAAAACAACTAAATCAAATCACGACGTTTCGGCGGCAACACACGCTTCCGTCTTCAAGATAGCTGCATCTTCATGCAGCTATCTTGCTGTGACTGTTCCACCTGAAGACGGAAGCTTGTTGCCTCCAAAACGTCGTGATTTGATTTAGTTATTTTATTTTGTTTTATCTACGTGACTTTACCGAAAAAACCAAAGAGTATGAATCCTTGCAGTCACGAAAGCTTCAAATCTAGAATTATGCTGTATAGAATCCCGTGTTACCTCCTGTGTTGGCGACGAATATGGCACACTACACTAATACTGCACTCCACCACACTCATACTACTCCCTTAATACTACACTATACCACACACTAATATACACCACACTGATACAACACTTAACAAATGATTTGGTGATGCTGCTTCATTGGCAGCGGTGCACAAAATCAGCCAACGTAAAAAAAAAACTGAACACGTTCGTCAATAACGCCGCGACTTTAATCGGATGTTCGCCATGAAGAAGGGCCATTGTCCTGAAACATCTGATATAACAAAAAAGTGTTCTCTTCAAGGCGGCGTTGCAGTTTTTTTGTTCACAATTCACTCACGCCGACACACTAGGCCATTCGATTAGCACAGTCGGCTACGTACGGTGCGAAAGAAGTTCCCACACACGTACGTACATACCTCCTGTGTAGTAATAACTCTACCGTGGGCCGTAGTCGAATATGTGACAGATTGAACCTCACCGTGGTGGCGAGATGTTCACTGCCTCGCCTGGTATGGAGGAGGTCGTGGGTACAATCCCGACCCCGACTCCTGTATATTTGGAGTTTGCGTGTTCTCCCCGTGGCCGTGTGGATTTTTTTTCCCTCCACAGCAAAGAAAACATGCATTTCCAGTGTTTCGCTGCTAGAAATTTTCCACTTGAAAAGCCACTTCGCTGAACTGTCATTGGTGGGCAGGTCACTTCTGAATGAGAGCTGTATAGCCCAGTGGGGCCTTACCTGGTAAAATAAAACAATTAAAAAATAGTTTCTAGTTTTACATTCACGACAGGGCGACCATCATCGCCAGCGTACAGATCCAAGAGCGGCAGGTGATTGAGATTAGCCTTAACCGCTGCAAATTCTGATGAGGCGAGAATGCAGAGGTGAGTTGTTGTAGTAAATGCCGGGAGGTGTTTGGCAGTCGTGAGTGTTAGAACCGCTTTGTGTTTCCCATTCCTCACCCACCTAAATGTCTTTTCCCCCCCCTTGAAAATGAGCGACGCTGTCGTCCGTCTCTTGCTGCCTTGTTTGCACAACGTGCGTGGTGCGAGCCGAGCGGCGTGGGGCCACTTTGTCCTTGCGGTCGTGGCGTGCGTCCGTAACCGGCTCAGTCATTTACCGCGTTTGGTATTTGCGTTAACCGTATCGCGCGGGGCTCTCTCTCTAGCGCGTGCGAAGGAAGGCGCTGTGTTGTAGCCACGCCATTAGGGGGTGGGGGTGGGGACAATATTGCTGTGTGTGTCCGTGGGGGGCAATGCTGCTGTGTGTGTGCGTGTGTGTGCGTAATTTTAGTTGCTTAAATTCGCGGACAATTTTTTGTTTTTTTTTACTCGCCAATTCACGCCGCGACGCTGATGGCGCCTCTCCATTTCGGACGACGTTGCGGGGATCGTCTAAACCAGTGGTTCTTCTTCTTCTTAACCTGGGGTGCACGCACCCCCTGGGGGAGCGAGATGCCCTTTCTCGGGGTGCGGGACACGGCCATTTTGTTTAAGGTATATCACGGGCACGTAAGTAACAACTACTTAGTTTCATCAAGCCATGTATTTATTAAGATTATACATATATTTTTTTCACGATTCGGAACCACAGGGGGTGCAAGGCTGCTGTAAAGGTTAAGAACCGCTGATCTAAAACGTCTGCTGCGAAGCGGGCAGACGGGCGGTGTGGGGGCGTGCGTGCGTGCGTGCGTGCCCGCCCGACGGCCGCCGCTACCCGCAGGTGATGACCGGGGGGTGCGCACCTCCGCGGTTTGGAACCACGAACCGCGCCGACGAGCCTGCGAACGCGGCGCGAACCGCCGGGGCCACGCGACACTTCACGCGACCGGGCCCGCCTGGTCTTGACGTTCGCACCGCCGCTCCGTGTCCGGTGCGCAGTATTTGCTGGAGATGAAGAGCCTCATCCTGCCACCGGAGCACATCCTGAAGCGCGGGGACAGTGAGGCCATCGCGTACGCCTTCTTCCACCTGCAGCACTGGAAGCGGGTGGAGGGAGCGCTCAATCTGCTGCACTGCACGTGGGAGGGCAGTGAGTAGCGCTCCTCCGCCACACTCTCTCTTCTCCGCACTCTCTATCTGTCTCTGCCACACTCTCTCCGCCACACTCTCTCTCCTCCGCACACTCTATCTGTCTCTGCCACACTCTCTCCACCACGCTCTCTCTCTGCCAAACTCTCTATCTATCTTTGCCACACTCTCTGTCTCCGCCACACTCTCTATCTGTCTCCGCCACACTCTCTCTGCCACACTCTCTCTCCTCCACACTCTCTATCTGTCTCTGCCACACACTCTCCGCCACGCTCTCTCTCCGCCAAACTCTCTCTATCTTTGCCACACTCTCTGTCTCCGCCACACTCTCTATCTGTCTCCGCCACACTCTCTCTGCCACACTCTCTCTCCTCCACACTCTCTATCTGTCTCTGCCACACACTCTCCGCCACGCTCTCTCTCCGCCAAACTCTCTATCTATCTTTGCCACACTCTCTGTCTCCGCCACACTCTCTATCTGTCTCCGCCACACTCGCTCTCTCTCTGCCACGCTCTCTCTCACCGCCACACTCTCTCACTCTCCGCTAGACTCTCTTTCGCCACCACACTCTCTCTCTCTCTCAGCCCGCAGCGAATGCCGCACCTCCACCAATGCGAGCACTGTCAGTGTGGTGTGAAGGTCAGGTGGTTTGAGCAGCTCAACACATTCGTCAACAACACACCGTGGTCTTAAGACGAAACGATACTCAACAGCCGATGTTTCGGGCAACGGGCCCCTTCGTCCCTAGCGTGCTTGTAAAGAGGAGGTCGCAAGCTCAAATCCCACGTCCGAGGGGCAGCATGCAGCCATCGGTCCGGGGCCGCTCGGTCGGTCGCCCGTATCCCACTGGACGGTTGTGAGGTGGTCATCTCCTTCAGAGGGCCGCGTGTGGATGACGCTCGAGGGCTGTGACGACACGGAACCGCTTCGGCGCAGCATCTCTCCAATCTCCACCGACCCACCCCACCCACCCACTCACGAATAAATAAATAGATGGATCATTCGGCAATATCGAACGGTGGGGGGAGAGGTGTTACTCTTGGGCGGGGGGGGGGGGGGGGGCTTGCCTCTCGTGACGCGTCACCACCCCCCTCCCTTGCAAGCGACGTGGGGTTTTTTGTTTTTTTCGCTGTGACATTCGCAGGAGGCGGTGCAGCTTATTGGCAGTTTTAGATGGTCTGGCTTGGAAGCTGTTGTTGGTGTCAAAAGGAGGTTGCTTGTGGCAGGAGTAACGGCCGTGTGACTGGATGGGCCAGGCAGCCGGACACACCTTGACCTCAACAAAGCAACTATCGTAGCCACTTGGAATTTCACGGCCCGGCAAGTTAAGCGACTTGGGAGTTGAGGATTACAAGGTGGCAATGCAGCAGTGCAGGCATAATTGCACATTGGCAGCGACGGGTGGGACGCCTATGCAAGGGGAGTTTGTGGGGGGGAGGGTGGCGGGGGTGGAGGGGGGGGGGGGCAGTCCACCGAGACGGGGGTTGGAGTGGCACCCAAGAGTTCAGTGACCAGGGGGGAAGCCCTCAACCTCAACCGGTGGGAGTCCTGTAGGAGCGACCCTTGGGAGGTGGTCAGGTTGTGGAATGTGGCAGTGGGGGGGGGAGAGAAAGCCGTTGGGTTTGGTTGTAGTGGCATCTGTGACATGAGCCGTGATGACTTCTTAACCTTGACCTTGTTTGTTTTTGCTTGGCCCTGTTGCTGTTGGCGATGTCAAAATGAACGGATCGGTGTTTTCCCGACCTCCGTCGTCCCGTCGCGCTCCCCGGGTTTGGTTGGCCGCTGGCGCTGGGGTCTCGTCCCCTTCGCCCACTCGGCGCGCGGTGGAGCACGACGGACAGCCGGGCGCGAGATCGCTCGATGTGTACGTGTGTGTGTGTGCTGAACTTCTTTCGCACCGTACGTAGCCAACCGTGCTCATCGGAGGTGCGGGGGAAGGACAACAAACTAAAAACAGTTCAAATTTTTTTTAAAAAGCAGCACACTTGCAAGGAAAAAGAAGCGAATAGCTCAGTGGGCTTTACCTGCTAAGATAATAATAGTTTAGTTTTTATCTGTATAGATTGTTAAGTGATTTGCTTACCTTTCCTATACTTTTCCGCCCCTATCGTGTTTTCGTATTGTTTCTGGTTGTAACGTTCTGACCTGCCCCTACTGGGACGTCTGCAAAAGAGAGAGCTTTACGTCTCGTTAGGCAAACCTCACGATTCTGTGTGCTCGGCTGGAGGAGACTCTGGCTCCGTGTGGCGGCAGAGTGCTCTCCGCTTTCCACTGAATTAAGCGTGTCAGTGCGGTGGCCATGCCTCCCTGTTGCCTTCGGTCGGAACGCGAGAGTCCGACAACCCCCTTGTCGTGCATAGCTCCTGTTTCTGACACGGTAAGTCAAACCAACGTACCTACCCGCCCGCGTGCATGTTTACATACTTGAACGCTGACCGGAGAAATTAATTTCGCCGAGCGCAGCCCCTCAGAGGCTGCAGCCGTGTGTAGAGGGGAGGGCTGTTGGTGCCCCGTCGCATGACTCCGGCCGTTGTTTGGCTTTGTCCTGTTGTGAATGTTCACGTAAGGGTGTCGCTCGAGGGCGGATGTGCTCCGCCACGTGCCTCTCCTCGTGATCGTCGATGCCGCCCCCGATCACCATTGCGTGCCCGCGTCTCTGACCCGGTAAAAATAGATTAGCACAAATAGTTTCCATTTTTTTAAAATAATGCATCGCACGAGATAGCTGCCGTCCCGAGTAGCGCGTCTACGCGTATGAGCGAATTCAAACCTCGCGCTCGAGTGAATTTTCGGTAGATGCGCGTACAGCGCGAAATCGCACGAGGCCAATCCGTCGCGAGGACTTGCGCGTACGTCATCGGAACAGAACCGGAAGTAAAAATGCCACGTGGGAGGGCGTGCTCCGGTCGTGTCGCCACGGTCTTCTGCGGTGTGAGTACAACGTCTTTAAAAACAACGGGCGCAACTACGCCTCTCTCGACGAAATTAGCTCCGAGCCGCTTTGCGCGTTCCGACGTTCGGCGATGAACGGGGGGGGGGGGGGGGGGGGTGGCACCCACCACCCCGCAACTTGCAGACGTCGTCGGAACGGGGAAAGGCGCGGGGAGGGGGGGGGGCGGGTTAAGAGAGCGGCTTGCCCGTGCTGCGCCTCCAGTGAACGCGGCCCGAGCGGGGCGCTTGTGCGCGCGCCCTCTCTCGTGTAGGACACCACCCACATGTCTGAGCTGCCCCATTGCTGCTCGTTGAGTAACCCAGCCGGAGCGGCGGTGCTTTCAAAGGTTACCCTCGACGGCGCTGGCTGCGCGCGTCCCGTTGCTGTTAGGTCGGGGGGTCGGCTTGTGTTGCGTTTTTCGTTCGGGTTATTCTCTGCACCGCCGAATAGCACGGTCGGCATACGTGCGGTGCGAAATAATTTCAACGTGCATCCCTACCTGTCGGGCACTGCTGGGTAGCTGTGTGGCATCTTTCAGGGTCTTGATACTTGCCGTGTGTGTTGTGCAAATTACCATCAAGACTTTCAAATCGTAACTTTTTGGAGACATTTTACGTCATATAATTGACAAATATGTTCATTTTGCCATCGGAATACATTAATTGTGTGATTTTTTTTTTGCATGTGTCTACAATTCATATCGTTGTGTTTGCTATCATCATGTGGTTGACAGACACACACTAAACTCTGCCGTGCACATTTCGAGCTGAAGCAACCGGTTGTATTAGTTCCACTCTTGTGCCGTTTTTGCCCTGCATCCATCGTTGTCGTCATTCCCAGGCAGTAAACCGCAAAATAAGAGCGGCTTTTTTTTTTCTTCCCGCGGCCAAATATTCCGCAGTTAATCAGCCGTGCGGGTGACTGTGCCAGGCGACAGCCGCCCGTCTACATGGTTGGCCTCGCCACTTTGTGTGAGCCAATGTTTTCATTGCGCATTAACCCACTTTGTGGCCGTTGTGGCTTGCTGTGTACGGTCCCTCTACCGCACTCAAGCTCTGGCACCCCCAGGGGTAGGTGGGGCCCCGTTTGAGTTTCACAGCCGATGGTACCGAAAGCTACCGTCGGTGCCCATCTGTCTGTAGCCTCAAGTTTGTAAACTAATAATACCCATAAATCACCTTTTCTTTACACATCACGGCCCAGTTTGTCCTTCATCGCACAAGACTTTGGCAAACATTCCTGGTGGCTCAGCCGCAGGCCATGCATGCCTGCCACAGTGCACATGCCTCCTGAACCCCCCCTCCCATCCCGACTGCCGACACCTGATAAATACACCAGCAGCCCGCGCACTCCATCCCCTCTCCCCTGCCTCCTCACCCACAACTCACCCCGGCCGTGCACACATTACCGAGGTCAGAGTTCGCTGGTGGAGCCGAGCACTTAACACACGCGTGAGAAGTGCGTGCGGGGATGGCGGCCGTCCCAGGTGTTACTACCTGCATTTTGGTTTTTTCGCTCGTTCCCTAAAAAATATGTGACCCCCTACCCCAAGCTGACCCGGCCCGGCGCAGCGCTTGCCAACCAAAACGTGGTGCCCCCCCCCCTACCCTCCGAAGATTGCGTTGCGCTTCAGCGGCGTGGTGATGCAACCCGGTGTGTGGGGGGGGGGTGGGAGTTGAACAGTGACCTCCGGTTCCTCGACACGAACCGCCGTCACCGTGCGCTTCGCGTGATGGACGCGGGCGAGGGTGGCGGCCGGTGCGGTGCTGCCGCCCGCACGTCTCGCAGCGGCGGCAAGAAGCACCCGAGTTTGATTTCCAGACTCGAGCCCCTTTCCCTGTGGGGAGCGTGCGTGCGTGCGTGCGTGCGTGTGTCCTCGCCCAGTTCCGCATTGGTTTCCGTCGGGTTCTTCATTTTCCTCCCGTACGTAAAAAAAAACGACCGGTATTGGCCAGAATATGCCAATGCTGCAAAATGACACGCGAATCATTAAATTTGGGTTACGCACGGCCATGTCGGCCTCCGCCACTGCGGTAAAAACTTGGCAGCCCCCTCCCGAAAATGTCTCAAGTCTCAGCGATGCGTTGCCGGGTAAACAAGCGTAATAACAGTGCGTGTGTGGGCGCCACGGTGGCAAGATGTTAACTCCCTCGCCTGGTATACAGGAGGTCGTGGGCTCGATCCCGACCCTGACGACTGCGTGCCGTTCCAGCTTTCATAGGTGCTACTCGCTAACAGCACTTGCCGCAAAAGTCTGTTAAGGCTACACGGGGGGTCTTTGTCCATGTGACCCATAGCAATTAGTGAGTCGCAGCAGCAGCTCCAAAATTCCTTGAATTGTTTTTTTTTATTTCAATAAAACATCTTGACGTGTTTTTAAACAGAAATGATGCCGAATATTTTTTTTCATCCACATCACAAACTTGAGTTATTCGGTGTAGTGCAGAAAATGGAAAACCACGTAGCCCAATTGTATTGTTGCGCACATAAGTTTATTTTTACTGACAGGTCAAGATGTGCGATTGATTCCAGCTAAGTCACTGGTTTCAGCCAATGCCAAACCAATTTTAATTATTACAAAGGCAGCCAGAAATTTGGGTTCCCATGTGTCTGAGTTTTGAGTATTGGGTGGAGGCATTCAAAGTGATTTAGACCTCACGTAACTGTGGTTACATTAACATGATTATTTTTGAAACGACACAACAATAGAACAAAAAATGAGCATTCACCCCTGGGCTGCCAAGTGATGCTATCCATATTATTGACAAATGTATTGAGCTTGTTTTATTGTATTAATTGTGCCTGTGCACCGCTGCAAATTCACAGCAGCAGCGTCACCCAATGTTAATTCGTCCTGACTCTGTATTATCTGAATGTCTCTTGCAGCATTTCGAATGATTCCTTACCCACTGGAGAAGGGGCATCTTTTCTACCCGTACCCCAGCTGCACTGAGAGTGCAGACCGAGAGCTGTTGCCAGGTAAACACCGCAAGTCCCTCGCACCCGTTGCCATTGCTTCAGCAGCACCACCGGCGAGTTGGAGAGCGATCCAATTTACTCGCACGGCCTGACCCCAAAAATCTATTAAGAAATCGTAATATTGGTCGCGAAAGATACACGCATTGAAAGCCAACCAGCCCTCTATCCACTAAATGTTTCCGTGACCTAATTGTAATTGTGCTCGTAATCAATCCGAACATAATCTGCCCGAGCTGACTTTTACGCTGCAGGGAATGATTTTACTTACCGCTGATTTATGGTTAGTGCAGCATTTTAAATTTCTCATGCGGACGCAGTTTTGTGTTTGCTCCAATTCGTTTCATTGTCGAGCTTTTATTTATTTTGTTTGTTTCTGCTTTAGTCGTTAATGTTGACGCAGGTCAACCTCTGCAAAGTGAGACTCAATCCTGGTCACTTGAGTTTGTCACCTCTGCTTAAACAAATATACTTTAAACTTGACGAAAGGTAACCTTGCAGCATCTGGCGCTGCAAGTTGTCAGGATGTTGCCCGCACCGTTAACCAGAGGAAAATAACCGCCCCTCCTCCCCCCGTCACAATTTGCGTCAAACTGCCACCTACGCGAGCGGAGGGCACGAGACGTCAACGTTGTTATTTGCCCAACCGCCGTGTTCGTTCCGAACAAGGAACAGGTGACCTCCCGTCTTTGGCAAACGGTACAGGGGGAATGTGCGTGGGCACAGGGGGACACGCACGCGCGCGCGTGGCGTTTTCTCCCCATTGGGCTTTGACTGCCATCTTTTACGCGCAAGCAAAATGGCAGGTATCATGGGGCCCTTTTTTTTTTGCCAGTATGAAAGTATGCAAAATGAGAATAGGTTTTTTTTTTTACCCTTTCTGGCAAGAAAACAGTCCTGTTAAAATGTAAGGCATCAAGTCTGCATTTACCACACGTACTTGTGGTGAACAAACACCCACTGGTAATAGAAGCATTGTCTCTGAAACTGATTGGCCTATGCCAGAGACAACCTTATTTATGGCTCAGTCTCACCAGATCAGAGAACGCCAAAAGGTGAACAGTACGAAGACAATGCAAGTGTCAGAGCATGTATAGCTTGGATTGAACAGCTATAAGTCATGGGGACTTATTTCCTTGCAAAAGGTTTGGTGTTTGAACATCTTAACACCTGTTTTATTGCCAGAAAGGGTCAAACCTCTATTCTTATATTTCTAAATTACAGGTAACTTCCTGTCTTTGACAAACTGTACAGGGGGAATGTGTGTGGGCACAGGGGGAGTTTTCCATTGAGCAGAGACTGTCATCTTTTACACTCAAGCAAAATGTTACACGGTTGCATTGCAGGAGTCTCAGGTTTAAGTTTCCCGGATAGATTCAAGTTCATTTTGGGTGGCCGTGGCTTTGGAAGGTGATGATTCGCGCTGCAGGGAATTATAACATTTAGCAGCGATTTAGCGTGAATATGTTTGAGGTTTCTTCCTTTTTTCGTGTGATTCAGTTTTTTTGTTGTTCTGGTTGCTTTACTTTATTGCCGTACATTGTTTTTGTTTGTTCTTTGCTATCGTCGTTGTGGTGACCCAGGTCAGCTTCTGAAAAAGAGACTCCTGTCCCCTGTCTCCCGAGTCCTTGCCTCGTGAAACAAAATACACTTTAAATCGATGTAAATCACTCGCTAAACAAAATGTGCTTTAAATCGATGTCAATCCACTCGTTAAACCGGCGATGAACTTCAGACCAAGAGCCCGATGTTCAGCTCACCCGCACAGATGCTGACCGCACAATTGCTTCATATCGTGCCTGCTCTGTTGTGCGTGCGTCTGCGCGTAATTCCACGTGTGGCCTCGTACGTTTGCTTGTGTTTTACAGTATCAGTGTGGAGCGGTAGTGTAGCGGTTAGCGCGCCGCGCTACGAACCTGGTGACCCGAGTTCGATTCCCACTCACGGCCAACACCAATGACGATCATCTTAACCGGTCCTTGGCCTCCCCTAGGTCGACTCGGCCTGAAATGAGTAGCTGGTACGGTGTGTAGTAAACATCGCCACTGCAGAGACGAAGCCGGTCGGGCGCGGTGCTGGCCACCCACCCACCCACCCCCTCGTGTGCCGTGCCGGCCTTCATAGGTGCTCGCTAACAGCACTTGCCAAAACAGTGTTAAGGCTACACGGAGGATCTTTGTCCTTGTTTTTTTGTTTACAGTAACATCTAAGCCGGACTAATTGAGGGAGGGTGGAGAATGGTTCAGGCCGTGGGGTAATGTCCAGCACATTGCAGATAATAATAATATTAATAATATTGAAAAAAAAACACAATGTAATTGCTGTTGGCCAAACATCTCTCAGTGCAGGACCCTCGTGAAGAACGAGCGGTTCGGTCCTTCACTGCCGTCGCGTCACGAATGAAGAGGCCAAAAAACCTTCACCATGAACAACGTCGGGCGCGATAACCCTACTGCGCATTAACCGTTACTCTCGAGCGAGCGGACGCACGCCTCCAGACGCGTGGCCCCTGCCGTCGCGAGAAGCGCAATGAAGCGTGTGCGTGTGTGTGTGGGGCGTGCGTTGCTACCCCGCGCCCCCGCGTGTCTTGCAGTGTTCCACGAGGTATCCGTCTACCCGAAGAAGGAGCTGCCGTTCTTCATCCTCTTCACAGCGGGGCTGTGCTCCTTCACCGCCATGCTGGCCCTGCTCACCCACCAGTTTCCTGACCTCATGGGAGTGTTCGCCAAGGCTGTGAGTCCTCCCGGCACGCCACCACCAGCACTCAGGCCCCCCGCGGGTGGCGAGATGTTAGTCGCCTCGCCTGGCATGCAGGAGGTCGTGGGTTCGATCTTAACCCCGATGCCTGTTGTATATTTGGAGTTTGCGTGTTCTCTCTCCATGTGGTCGCGTGGATTTTACTCCGAGTCCTCCGGTGTTTATCCTCCACGTGTACAAACGTGCGTTTAGAGTAATTTGGCTGCTATAAATTTCCACGGGATAAGTCCCCCCACTTCGTTGAGCTACCACTGGTGACAGCCTGGTTGCTTTTGAAAAAAAAAAGAGCATATAACTCAGTGGGCTTTACCAGGTAAAATAAAACTCATTTTAAAGAAAGTTATTTTTTTTGTTTTAGCTCACCGTGCACACGTGCGCCGTCAAACATAACCGCCGTGGTGTTCATTGGCAGAGCAGGCCCACCGTGCATCGTCGTCGTTGTCGTTTAAATTTGCCGAATTAAAAAAAATGACCGCTTGGGTGTGATTACACACGGCGATTGTCGTTGCCCTTCCCCTGCCCCCCCTTACCGGCAGACCAAATGTCCTCTCGCAGGCCGGACGGTGCCGGATTAAGCTAGTGCGCGGGGCCTGTAACGTATGTTATAAAGGGACCCTAAATAAAAACAACACGCAAATATTAAAACACATTTTTACCTTGCATTGTAAAGTAATTGTATTGTTTCATTTGCTATACAGCCAGATAATATGACAAATCGCTAACCTTAAACACCCAGCCGTTCATAAAAGCTGAAGGCAGTATAGTACTATAGTAATAGGGCAAGTGCAGAATCACTGAACCGGAATTGATAGCTTGAAAGTGCGGGGCCCATAGCATGTGTAGCTACTTGTGTAGCTACACAAGTAGCTACATACTTGTGTAGCTACGTATAGATGAGTAACGACACATGTAGCTACTTGTGGAGCTACACATGTAGCTGCTTGTGGAGCTACATATGTAGCTACTTTTGCTCCTAGGATAATCCGGCACTGAGGCCGTTGCCGCGCCATCTTGCGCCGCACAGGGACAACTGCCGCTTGGGGGGGCGGCGTGCCCTTGGAAGTTTTTTTGCGATGAGATGTGACGACCAGTTTTCATTGCATTGCTAAGGCATGTAAGTGCAATTTGAATGCAAAATGTATTATTATTAAGTTCACTCTGGTACTGGAAGCAGTGTCCCCCTGTTGGCGGGGACAGTGGAAGGATTCGGATTGGGTGTGGCCACACACACAAATTCCCGTGATTACTGGAGGCTTTAGCCGATTGAGACATATATATAGATACCATAACTGCGTGATGCAATTAGCAACGCGTTGCACGACATTTTGGCGGCGCTCGTTCCGTGCGTGCTCATTCCCGCGCGCGGTTGCGAAAACGCCCGACGGGACCGCGTGCGTTCGTCTCGTTGCAGTTCTTCAGCACATTATTCGCGCCGTTCAACTTCATGGTGGAGAAGATCGAGAGCTTTCTTCCGTCCAGCCTGTGGCACCACCTCACTCGGATCTGACGACGTAGGCGGGAGGGGGCCGCGTGGGGGTGAAGGGGTCAGGCAGGGGGGCGGCGGTGGGGCGGGGGGCGGCCCTCGGGCCTGAAACCGGCCTGACGACAGCGACCACGGCCAGGACCACACTCCACCCCCCCCCCCCCCTCCGATCTGTGTGACCGCGCTCGCTTGGGACGCTTTGTGAACGGCCACCACCGACGAGGAGAATTTCTCAACGCAGATGACCAACAACGGCGGCGACCCCCCCCACCCCTTCCTTTCCGTGATGGCGGCACCGGCGAGCAAGCTTGGAACGGAACCGGTGGTGGTGGTGGTGGTGGTCGTCCGGGCATACAGCAGCTTCTCAGACTGGGCTGGCTTGCCACACGTGCCCCCCCCTCCCCCCCCCCCCACCCCCTCTGACCCCCCCCCCCTCCCCCCCAACCTGCTTCTTCACCTTTGGACAACTTACAACAATAAACAATTAAACACACACATTGGTCACTTCTGAAGTTACCTCTAGCTTGGAAAATGTTGAAATAAAATTTGCTTAAAAAACTGTTTTGAAGATTGTGGTGGCCGGTTTTTTTTTGTATTTTTTTGCTTTGAAACGTGCAGGCTCCACCTGTTGAGAAACTTGAGTTGTCACTTCACTTGTCACGCGGCGATGTTCGTTTTTATCAAGAGCCCTGTAGGAATTCTGAGCAACGTTCCTATCGCACGTTTGATTTCACGTGCGAGTCTCATGGACCACTTTAGCCATCAGATTCACCCAAGGGTCTCATATTTAGTTACATGGCACTGTGGCAGACTACTTTGTCCACCGTTCTCCCGCCCCCCCTCACCTCCCCATCTTACTCTCTGATAGTCGTAAAATGAGTGTACCGCATCCGGCTTGTCAACAACTGTTGACATCCGGTTAGCATGGTTGGCTACGTACGGCGCAAAATAAAAATCAACGCACATGCGCACAGCAGTACCTGCTTGGGCAATCGTCGCACTCCCCTAAGGGGGAGGTTCATGCCCCAAGTCATTCTTGTGAAATCTCTCTCTCTCTGTCGCCTCCAGAGATCTCGTCTGGTGAAACGAAGGGGAAGCTATCTTGAGGGAGCTCTAGCGATGGGACAGTGAGTGGAGAGGCTTCAACTGTGAGGGTAGAGGGGGGTATGAGGCAACTTTAACAAGGATGCATCCTCACAAGTTGTATGAGGCAACTTTAACAATGATGCACCCTCACAACAAGTTGTATGAGGCAACTTTAACAAGGATGCATCCTCACAAGTTGTATGAGGCAACTTTAACAAGGATGCATCCTCACAACAAGTTGCATGAGGCAACTTTAACAAGGATGCATCCTCACAACAAGTTGTATGAGGCAACTTTAACAAGGATGCATCAACAAGTTGTATGAGGCAACTTTAACAAGGATGCATCAACAAGTTGTATGAGGTAACTTTAACAATGATGCCACCTCACAACAAGTTGTATGAGACAACTTTAACAATGATGCATCCTCACAACAAGTTGTATGAGGCAACTTTAACAATGATGCATCCTCAACAAGTTGTATGAGGCAACTTTAACAATGATGCCACCTCACAACAAATTGTATGAGGCAACTTTAACAAGGATGCATCCTCACAACAAGTTGTAGGAGGCAACTTTAACAATGATGCATTTTTACAGCAAGTTGTATGAGGCAACTTTAACAATGATGCACCCTCACAACAAGTTGTATGAGGCAACTTTAACAATGATGCATCAACAAGTTGTATGAGGCAACTTTAACAAGGATGCATCCATCCTCACAGCAAGTTGTATGAGGCAACTTTAACAAGGATGCATCAACAAGTTGTATGAGGCAACTTTAACAAGGATGCATCCTCACAACAAGTTGTATGAGGTAACTTTAACAATGATGCATCAACAAGTTGTATGAGGCAACTTTAACAAGGATGCATCAACAAGTTGTACGAGGCAACTTTAACAAGGATGCATCAACAAGTTGTATGAGGTAACTTTAACAATGATGCCACCTCACAACAAGTTGTATGAGACAACTTTAACAATGATGCATCCTCACAACAAGTTGTATGAGGCAACTTTAACAAGGATGCATCCTCACAACAAGTTGTATGAGGCAACTTTAACAATGATGCATCCTCAACAAGTTGTATGAGGCAACTTTAACAATGATGCCACCTCACAACAAATTGTATGAGGCAACTTTAACAAGGATGCATCCTCAACAAGTTGTATGAGGCAACTTTAACAATGATGCCACCTCACAACAAATTGTATGAGGCAACTTTAACAAGGATGCATCCTCACAACAAGTTGTAGGAGGCAACTTTAACAATGATGCCACCTCACAACAAGTTGTATGAGGCAACTTTAACAAGGATGCATCCTCAACAAGTTGTATGAGGCAACTTTAACAATGATGCCACCTCACAACAAATTGTATGAGGCAACTTTAACAAGGATGCATCCTCACAACAAGTTGTAGGAGGCAACTTTAACAATGATGCATCCTCACAGCAAGTTGTATGAGGCAACTTTAACAATGATGCACCCTCACAACAAGTTGTATGAGGTAACTTTAACAATGATGCATCCTCACAACAAGTTGTATGAGGCAACTTTAACAATGATGCATCCTCACAATAAGTTGTATGAGGCAACTTTAACAATGATGCATCCTCACAACAAGTTGTATGAGGCAACTTTAACAAGGATGCATCAACAAGTTGCATGAGGCAACTTTAACAATGATGCATCCTCACAACAAGTTGTATGAGGCAACTTTAACAATGATGCACCCTCACAACAAGTTGTATGAGGTAACTTTAACAATGATGCATCCTCACAGCAAGTTGTATGAGGCAACTTTAACAATGATGCATCCTCACAACAAGTTGTTTGAGGCAACTTTAACAATGATGCATCCTCACAAGTTGTATGAGGCAACTTTAACAATGATGCACCCTCACAGCAAGTTGTATGAGGCAACTTTAACAAGGATGCATCCTCACAACAAGTTGCATGAGGCAACTTTATCAATTTATTATTTTATTCTCATTCTACGTGACTTTACCGAAAGAACCAAAGAAGATGAATCATTGCAGTCACGAAAGCTTTAAATCGAAATTTAACAATGATGCCACCTCACAACAAGTTGTACGAGGCAACTTTAGCAATGATGCATCCTCACAACAAGTTTTATGAGGCAACTTTAACAAGGATGCATCCTCACAACAAGTTGTAGGAGGCAACTTTAACAATGATGCATCCTCACAACAAGTTTTATGAGGCAACTTTAACAAGGATGCATCCTCACAACAAGTTGTAGGAGGCAACTTTAACAATGATGCATCCTCACAACAAGTTTTATGAGGTAACTTTAACAAGGATGCATCATTCACAACAAGTTGTATGAGGCAACTTTAACAAGGATGCATCCTCACAACAAGTTGTATGAGGCAACTTTAACAAGGATGCATCCTCACAACAAGTTGTACGAGGTAACTTTAACAAGGATGCATCCTCACAACAAGTTCTACGAGGTAACTTTAACAAGGATGCATCCTCACAGCAAGTTGTAGGAGGCAACTTTAACAAGGATGCATCCTCACAGCAAGTTGTATGAGGCAACTTTAACAAGGATGCATCCTCACAACAAGTTGTACGAGGTAACTTTAACAAGGATGCATCCTCACAGCAAGTTGTATGAGGCAACTTTAACAAGGATGCATCCTCACAACAAGTTGCATGAGGCAACTTTAACAAGGATGCATCCTCACAACAAGTTGTAGGAGGCAACTTTAACAAGGATGCATCCTCACAACAAATTGTATGAGGCAACTTTAACAAGGATGCACCCTCACAACAAGTTGTAGGAGGCAACTTTAACAATGATGCATCCTCACAACAAGTTGCATGAGGCAACTTTAACAAGGATGCACCCTCACAACAAGTTGTAGGAGGCAACTTTAACAAGGATGCACCCTCACAACAACTTGTATGAGGTAACTTTAACAATGATGCCACCTCACAACAAGTTGTATGAGGCAACTTTAACAAGGATGTATCCTCACAACAAGTTGCATGAGGCAACTTTAGCAATGATGCACCCTCACAACAAGTTGTAGGAGGCAACTTTAACAAGGATGCATCCTCACAACAAGTTGTATGAGGTAACTTTAACAAGGATGCATCCTCAAAACAAGTTGTATGAGGTAACTTTAACAATGATGCATCCTCACAACAAGTTGTATGAGGCAACTTTAGCAATGATGCACCCTCACAACAAGTTGTATGAGGTAACTTTAACAATGATGCATCCTCACAACAAGTTGTACGAGGCAACTTTAACAAGGATGCATCAACAAGTTGTATGAGGCAACTTTAACAAATTACCAGAAAGAAGAGTCACTGGTTCGGACAAAAAAAAAATTGCTCATTTTTAAAAAAAACTTTTTATATATATTTTTTAAACTTTATATATTTTTGAACTTTATATATATTTTTAAAATGTCTTCGCTTGAGCAACAAGTGACGGCACGGTTGTTGCAAGCAATTACGCAAGAGGCGAGGAAGGGTTTGTGGGTTCGGGTTTAATCTGCCCGGCTTAAAGAGTGAACAGTTGTTCTCCCATTAAAGAGTGGAGGGTTGTTCTCTGCTAAAAAAAAAAGAGGTCGGGGAGAAACCGTGGAGGAACCATGGAGATGGGCTCGGATTCCCAGCGGGGGCGCCGGGAATAACCGCGATCGATCATGCCGGATCGCAGCGACTCACGTCGTTTCAAACCGGGGGCCTTCTTTTCGAAGCGCGTCTTCAGGTCGCAAAGCTTGGGAGTTTCAAGACCCCGGGGGTGTTTCGGGGCCAGGGAGGGGATACGGAGACGGATCTTTTTGGCTTGAACGCTCGCCCGTCGTTAAGTTTTGGGTACATTCGGCTGTCCTCTTAAGCAACCCGCGCTCCGCGCGAGCGGAAAGCCCGGGATCGTCGTGGGCCCTCCCTCGGTGGAATGCGATTGCCCTCGGATGTCACGGCGATGTGGACGAGCGGCTCTGCGCCGAGTGTCGGCCGCGCACGCCACCAGCGCGCACCGCAGTTTGGGCGCGATTCGATGGCAGGAGACGCCGACTGCACGGGACGAGGTGTCGGCTCGTCCCCGTCGGCTGGGGCAAGGGGACGTCAACATGAGCGGCAGCCGAGGAAGGGGGACGTGCCCAAGTGAAATGTGTGCTTTTTGGCGCAGGTTGTTGTGGTTTAGTTTTGGCGTGTTTAGTTCTGTTGCGATTAGCGCGGTCAGGCCGCGTACGGTGCGAAAGAAGTTCAACACGCGCATGCACTACACTATATACTACACTACTATGCACTACTCCACTATTCTACATTGAGAACTGATTTCTTCAGAGCTGCTGTTTGTGTTTAGTTTGTTGTCCTTCCCCCGCACCTCCGATTAGCGCGGGCAGGACACGTACGGCGCGAAAGAAGTTCAACGCGCATGCGTGCGTACGTTACAATTAGGCAGGCGGCGGAACACAACCTGATCTTCATTTG